AAAGGTATTCTAAAGGGAACAAAGGTACTCTAAAGGGAACAAAGGTACTCTAAAGGGAACAAAGGTATTCTACGGTGGAACCAGCTGGGCGGGTTCTAGATGAAACCCCTAGAATATGAAAAGGTTCTCTGTCAGACCCCCTGAGTGGGTTCTAGATGAAACATTAGAGAGGTTGAGGAAGGGATGAAAATGTAAATAATGAAAAGGAATAAAGTTGAGAGGTTAAAAAAGCTTCACACGTTCCCCTCAGATCACCTCTGATTAAGATCAAAATATGAATTTCTCAGAGAGATCAAAGTAAAATGATTTAATGATCACAGAACAGCTCTTCTGTGATCTCCACACAACACGCTTCTCAGTAATATTTCATGACTATGAGGAAACAATCACGATCGTGGAATAACTATTTTGTTGAACTGACAACGACTGCTTTCACGTAATCACAGATTCATTATTTCATGAGCACGAAAAAGGCAAAGCTAGTTATCTCTAAGAAAACAATACAATGTCGTGAGATACAAGAGATAAATACTTTCTGTATGAGTAGCTGCCCCACGACAAGAGACATATTATGTTTTTACCATCATTGGCTACATGAGGCTTCAAAGAATAACCATCTCTCAGTCTGTGGTCATCCACTCAGGGAATATTTGACAGTTTGGGAAAATATCACCAACATCAGAAGCTCAAGCGTTAAATAAGAGCTGAAGGATGCAACATTCCCTTTGACCACTAGAGGGTGCTCTTTGACAGCATTCCTGTTAGATCAGGTCAACGCAGAGGTTTTTATTGTATAAACAGAATAACACTGATAATGAGACTAATATAAATAACACAGGTTTGTTTCTTCTGCAGCATTTCAAACACTGAAAATTAGAAGAAACAGCAGAAATACTTTCTGTACCTAGAACTTAGGGACAGAACCTAAACTTGGAAATAAGGGTTCCAAAAGCATTCTTCCTGAATGGCTGAGGTTTTATTTCTTGTTGTGAAGAACCCTTTTTGGAAGAAAGTTGTTTTTTAAGGATTGTTGAAAGCATGACACACCCACAAAAACTGTGGTTATAAATGAAACCCATGGAGTATAAAAGGGTTCTCGGTAGAACCCCTGGGTGGGTTCTAGATGAAGCCTTTGAAATATAACAAATATATTAGGGATCTCGGTAGAACCCCCACTGATGGGTTCGAGATGAAACCCTTGGACTATAGTCTGGTTCTCAGTGGAACCCTGGGTGGGTTTGTGTTAGCACCCTGAGAAGGTGGAAAGGTTCTGGATAGAACCTCCAAAGAGGTGTCTGGTTGGACCATAAAGCCAAAGAAGGGTTCTCTGTAGAACCTCTCATAGAGGGTTCTGGGTGGAACTTTCAACAGATGGTTCCCTTTGTGAGAATCCTTTGAAAGTCTTACAGGTGAAACCTTAATAAAATGTTCTACCAGGAACAAAAAGGGCCTTAGAACCCTAAATGGTTCTGCCTAGCACCTTCATTTCTCAGAGTGTCCTTTATCTCCTCGTAACAACATGAACTCTGGTGCACCAAAGATTTACGGAACGACAGTGGGGAAGAATATTTTGTGCAGCTCATCTAGAACCGCTGCCAACAATCAAGCAAAGTAAAGGGTTCCCAGGGTTCTCCATCCGAGATCTGGCTCGGAACCAGCAGCTGAAATCAATGTGAGATGCCCTGATGTCCGATTCATTCCAGTGTGCTGCCAACGACTCCTGAGGCTGATCGTCTTAAAGGCACAGTGTGCTGCCAACGACTCGACTCCTGAGGCTGATCGTCTTAAAGGCACAGTGTGCTGCCAAAGACTCCTGAGGCTGATCGTCTTAAAGGCACAGTGTGCTGCCAACGACTCCTGAGGCTGATCGTCTTAAAAGGCACAGTGTGCTGCCAACGACTCCTGAGGCTGATCGTCTTAAAGGCACAGTGTGCTGCCAACGACTCCTGAGGCTGATCGTCTTAAAGGCACAGTGTGCTGCCAACGACTCCTGAGGCTGATCCTCTTAAAGGCACAGTGTGCTGCCAATGACTCGACTCCTGAGGCTGATCGTCTTAAAGGCACAGTGTGCTGCCAATGACTCGACACCTGAGGCTGATCGTCTTAAAGGCACAGTGTGCTGCCAATGACTCGACTCCTGAGGCTGATCGTCTTAAAGGCACAGTGTGCTGGAGCAAGATGCAAAGTCAGACAATCTGAGCCTCGCACTGCAACAACATGCAAAGTGCTGACTCAGCTCAGCAGATGAGGGAGGACTTCAACACACTGAAGCCTCTCATCACACCAGAGGAGTAATTCAGGAGACAAAACATTTCATCCTTGGTGTTCAGAGGATTTTACATTTTTACTGGTTTACTAATAAAAACAGAAAATCATAATAAATCTAAAGGATTAAAGATTAGAAGCACTAGATTTAGATGTGAAGATGTATTTTCATAATTAATATATATATAAATATATATATATTATAATGTCATTTTAAGCCACTTTTACACTTTTAAAGTCTTGTTGCATTTTATGATATCGCACCTTGTAACTGGTTTTAAAAATAAAGTTTCTTAAAGTAAATATTTGGGGGAATAATAGTTTGCTTATCTCCTTTTTTGCAAAGAGTTAGAGGAGAAGATTGGTACCATTTGTCTGTACAGTAAATATTTGGGCGACTCAGGCGGAGCGGGTCATCTACTAATCACAAGGTTGGTGGTTCGATTCCTCCTCCTGGCCACATGTTGACGTCTCTAAAGCAGCTGTGGCTTTATGTTTGTTTCACTAACATGACAGCGGTATCAAAGCTTCTCATCTAACGCTCTGCAAGAAAGCGAGTGCGTGGACACTGCACCGCCATCTTACCAGTCCAGTCCGGCTCGGCCGCCCGCCCACGGAGGAGGCCACCGAGCTGACGGAGCTGATGGAGGAGCTGCTGGGGCTGTGGACCAGAGAGGAGACCCCCATGGCCATCCGCTTGCTCTTCTTGGCCTTGGCCGGGCTGGTGGAGGGGAAGCCGATGCGGATCACCTTGTGGATCGGAGCAAACAGGCCAAACTTGTGAAGACACTGAAAGTATCTGCAGGGAGAGAGGTGAGTTTTGTTTAGCACAGAGCGGCTCCACCGACACAGAAACACAGTTTATAGGGCGTCCCTTTGGGATTTAGTTTGGGGATTCAAATACGTTCATAAGGTGCTTACACTGAACAGCTTATAAGCATGAACAGAAAGATATACTCCTAGTAATGATTGGAAATGATGATGTTTCAGGAGCATAATAGCCACCAATTAAATAGTAAAATCACCTTTAAAACTCTACCCACAGTAAAGTCTCCTGACTGTCACTGTTGTGACTCTATTGCAGTAAATCCACAAAATCCGCCCACACACCGACAATTAAATGAAACCCTGTGGTGGTTTCTGCTGCAGTCGGAGTCTCCTGGACCACATTTTTGTCATGATGACTCACAAACAGAGTCACAAGGTGAAAACAACACATTTAATGGGATACAAAGTTTCAAACAAGACCAAATCTTTAGTATAAACAAATACTCGTGCTTCTGGATCTGGACTTGACGTGAGAAAAGTGTCTTTTTTTCCATTTGTTCCCCTGTTTTGGCTGACGGCCAAAGTTCAATATGACTTTAAACAGTTTGTTATTTATGGAGAGAGAATAATGTGTGTTGTGCTCTGAATAAATATGATACATGTGATAAATATGAAATATAAAAACACTGAAGCTTGTGGGTCACGAACAAGCAGATGAAAGAACAAACGACTGAACAGATGGAGCCACAGTCTTCCTCTATGTCCCTTTAGGAGGACTTGGTGCGCTTGAAGCACACATAGTGTGTGTGTGTTGTGTGTGTGTGTGTCTGTGTGTGTGTTGTGTTTTGTTGTGTGTGTCTGTGTGTCTGTGTTTACCTTGTACCAGCCACAGCACCATCATTCTTCCCCAGGGGCTCATCCAGCTCGACCCCACACCATTCACCCTTGGCGAAGTCCGTCTCTCCCATGTAGCGAATAACTCCCATCTTAGAGCCTCCCACCTGACAACAGGGGAGGAAAAGAAGGTCCGACTGTTAAAGTGTGTTCACACCAAACGTTTTCGCACGATTACATACGAAGAATGCCGCGAAAACGGCCGCCTGGCGTCTACTGAGAAGTTCGCCTGACGCTGTGTCGCTAAATCCAATAAGTGAATCAGAAAATATTGTTGTCATTTTATATTTGTACAGAGACCAGAATAAATGTATGTGTACAAACCACGGACTCTAAACTATAACCTCGCCGCTGTATTTATGCCAAGATGATGCTATTGTGAGTGTTGATGGAGATGCTACAACGTTAGCATAGCCTAGCACGCATCGAACCAAACAACAAGGACAGACCTGATAAAGCACAAACTCTTATACGTACTCTTATATTGTTTGTTTGTTTATCGTATTCTTTTGTACATTTTAATATTTGTATTATTAGTTATGCACTGGGTTGATTTTCCTGCACTAAAGTTAAATTCCTTGTTTGTTAAAAACTAACTCGGCAATAAACCGTTTTTGATCAAAATGTACAAACGTCAAACATCTGGTCACACTTTCCTTAAAGAAAGAGTTCGAATAACAGAAATAAACACCAAACCAAAGTGTTACACTGAAGTCTTAAAGACAACGTTTAATGCTTCCACGGAGAATGAAAAACAGAGAAAAGTCTGAATGAACTGAAGTAAACGGGGCAAAGTTTAATGACTGAAAAACTACATGAAAACATCTGTTTACAAACTCACACAACTGGTGCAGTACAACCCAAGTCTCATCCATCCAGTCGTATGCTCACTACTCCACACACACATGCACCTTCAGTAAAACATCACTATTATAAACTCCTCTGCATAAAGAGTCTCACACAGAAGGCCAGCTGCTCGGTTGCAAGTGTTAAAAATGTAAATACGGTTTTATATCTTTGGGAAGTATTTCTGGATTCTTTGTTCACCACAAAGGCAAGAGAGACATTTTCCTGAAGAATTCCAGGTAAAACTGAGTGATTAATATACATATTGTACAATATATGTAAAGTATTCCTTTAACATTTGAGAACCCTATTCTTCCAGAAAAAGACCCCCTTAATAAGTAAAGACTGGACTTTAGGAGCCGATGGAACTGAACACAAGCATACAACAGGGCGTGGTGAGTCGCTCCTCGCCCTTCTGTTGTCAGATGAACCACGGAGGCCACAGCGTGAGACATCACAGTGACACGGTCGGCTGTCGGCCTGTCTGTGAGACGTCTCAGTGACTCGGTGTAGAGACAGACAGTCAGCTGGAGCCTCGTCTCGTTACTGCCGGTCCTTCTGTTAAAGCCGTACTCTCAGTCTCACCTTTAGCTGTAAACATCTCTGACTTTAAACTACGCTACGCTCAATACAAACTCCTCAGACGTTAAACCGTCATCTTTGGTGAGTTCCTTGCGACCCTAAATGGAAACTCTGCGTTTAATATTTAATATTCTGATGGCGTTTGCTGGCGGCGAGGCTCCAGGGTTTTGTGGGTCTGTCGGTTTGGTCCGGACTGGAATGATCTCTGTGAAACATCTCACCATGGATGTTCCAAACTAGGTCTTATTCCAAATGTAGCATTTTGATTGAGACACTTGAAATGCCGATATTATTCTGGTTTATGGAGCACTTTCTTTGTATAAAGTGCATTCAGAATATTTGACAGAAACTGGATCCGTCCGTGGCTGTGAGATAGATTACAGGAAGTAGATGGCTTCACTGATCAATGTGTCAGCAGCAGTCTCTCCTCTCTTAAGTGCTGAAAGTAATCCGGAGTGATTTACAATATTGACCAGGAGGAAGGCTTTCGCCTGCTTCCACCGGGTCTGATGTAACCGTCCCCAGACGCGCATCAGCGAATGGAAAGCAATGCGACCCATCGTAGGGGCCAATAATCCCATCGTAGGGGCCAGTAATCCCATCGTAGGGGCCAGTAATCCCATCGTAGGGGCCAGTAATCCCATCGTAGGGGCCAATCAGAGAAAACACACAATGGCCACGGACATGTTGACCATGTTTTGTTGGGCAATGGTGGATTTAAAAAAACGTAAAAGGTACAAAGGATGAATTCTAGCGGAAGCTTCGTGTGGGGATCAACCATGCATCACATTACACAGCTGTGAATAGTCCACTGGGACTCTCATCTAATGACTTTCAGCTTCTATGTACTATGTTAGTCTCAAATATTTACACAACATCAAGTTAACTTCTTCCACTCCACCAGTCTTCACTGTAGACCCGTCTATTTTTAGGGAGGGGGGGGGGGCATGGGAACTTTAAGAGCAGACAGCAGGTCAACAGTAGAGACCACACTGAAGAAGTATACGTCATTTAAAGGCTGAGAACCTGAAGATAATTATAAATAAGATTGAGATGCAGTGTGTGTCTAGTTGTTCTCGGGCTGAGAACATTATGATGGAAGTATACGATGGCCGTTCCCATCCTCACGTATGTCTCATAAGTTGTTGCAGCAATGTTTGGGGTTAATACCATTTGGTACTCATATTTGTTGCTAGATTTAACCACCAAGACCTTGAGGACCACCATTTAAACATTCATGCTGGGATTTATTGTCTAAGACTTTTGAGCTTTGGTTATTTCTGCAGGAATTGCATTTTTTGGGCGATTGGATGGCGAGCAACTGCTCAGAAGATGCCGTCAGTAGAATGGAACGGTTACGTTGAGGACTAACATCCTCACACATACAATCGGATAGTGAAATAGTGTATGTTCAATAATTCAATGAGAAGATCAACACCACTCTCATGTCAGTCTGTTAAGTATAAGGCTACAGCCAGAGGCTGGTTAGCTTAGCTTAGCATAAAGACTGGAAACAGGGGGAAACATTTAAATACATTAAATACAAATTCTGAAGTTTAGTGACCCCTCTCTCTGGAGAGCCCATCACGAGAGGGAACCCTGTCCAACAACACAAAAAGACTCACCAAAACTCGATCTCCAACTCGAAGATCCTTATCGCCTTTCTTCACCGAACCCTTAACCGAACCGTTGTCGGACATGTTGGACCCGGACTCGTAGCCCGTCTTCACCGCGCTGTTGAGCAGGCACTCTCTCAGTGGCACTACCACCCTCTGGCCAGGCGGGACGCCATTGCCGCCCTGCTGAGTCTGATTCTGAGCAGAGTCAGTGGAGTGGCTGTCGCTCCCCTCTCCGACCGGCTGTCGGGTGAGCTTCGAGGGTCGCGTGAAGATGCCCTGGAGGGGCTGGCACTCAAAGTAGTGCACGCCGCCCACTGACCCGTCGTTTTTGCCAACTAGGTCATTCAGTATCACGCCTGCCCACTGTCCCGGGGCAAACTGGGTCTCCCCCAGGTAGGCAATAACTCCAAGCTTGACACCGTTGACCCAGACCTGCTCGCCCACCGTGTAATCCCCCAAAACATCGTCGCCCTCTTCAGAGATTTTAGTTGGGGTGGTGGGCTTGAGCGGAGCGTCTGGAGAAAAAGAAAAACAGTACATGTTATTTTTAATGACGTAGAGCAGGAAAAAGCTCATATAGCAAAAGACAAAAGCAGGTGGCAAGACATATAAACATCACTGGGACTTAAACCACTTCACATTCGGCTCCCTGTTGGAAGGCCAAGTTGTAAACAGTGCGTACATTGTGAGATCATCCTCATTCACAGTCCAGCAGAACTGCCTTCACACTATTCATCCCGTTTGACCGTGTCACGCCGGACGGAAAAAAAGAAAAGAAAAGAAAAACTGCATCCAGCGCAACAGTGCAGTTTCTGCAAGATTAGGCGTTAATCTAATTCCTCCGGGAGAAGTGGGTCAGAGAGACCCACATGCAGCCGTGTGATATCGCCTGTTCGACACACAGATGAGCTGCTTTTTCTTCTTCTCTTTCCACAGCAGCCTGTAAACTGAGCAGGGCATCATTAGCACGCGGTCTAGTGCGCCGCACTGCCAGTAAAAGTCTGTGTTTATCTGTGTGCAGGAACGCTCGGTGCCAGGGCCGTCTCCCCGACACCCTGAGAGAGGGCCCGGGGCTCTGTGGGCCACAATAGCTGAGCTTTATGCCTCAATTGCTCCCATATGTTGCGATGCGAGATGCGTTCGGCTCAAATGCAAACGGGTACAGCTTCAGAAAAGGGTTTTAACTGGAGGAAACAGTTAGAAAGCCTTTAAGAATGCGCTGCTTCACTGTTGATTTTGGGGCCGATATGCTGCAGGTTTTGAGGAGACTTTTGAAGTCCGTTTGTTTCGGTCTGAATCAGGTTGTTCTGTTAAACATCACATTTATCAACTGACCGAAAGATATTGACAATCAGAAAAGTGCTCAGGACCCTCATTGATCAGTAATGTGTCCAAATGGATGTCGCCCAGAGCAAACTGACATATACAGCATCAACATCAGCACATTGACCCACATCTGCAGCTGGAAGCACAGCTGGACTATGAACCTCGTCCAGAGCACCAGAGACGGTTTGGAAGTGTACCTGAGAAACCTTCCTGTTAATGCCAACGAGGTCGTGGTCCAAACGTTTTGGACGAGATTCAGTTTGATTTTTATTCAGAATACCGTTAACACTGACAGACTGGTTGGGTTTTTACAATGCAAGTAACTCAGCAGCCATTCAGCAGCTGAGAAGGTACTCAAATAAAAGACAAGATTTCTGAGTATTTACACTTCTCACTGCCACCGTGGTCAAATAAACTGCATTACATGTATTTATATGAAAGGTCATTTTATCCACCAACGGAATTACAACTATACATCCATTCTCAAAGCGCCCCCCTCCCTTACAATGCTAAAATGCAGAATCTAAAATTGTTATTACATTTATTTTATTCTCATTATCTCTCATATAATAATTTAGATTTGAGGATGGAAGGATCGCAGGAGGAACGCAGCCTCTGATTGGTCGACTAGTCAAGAACGCAGCCTCTGATTGGTCGACAGACTCAACCCAAGGCATTATGGGAATGCTACAGAACAGCTAACAACAACGACTACTGTTGTCAACATGGAACATGGTTTTTGACATGAAGCACAATATACTTAAGAGACAGTTAGTTTATGATTGTCTGAATCCAGTCATCTCGCTAATGTACGAATTCAGTTTTAATACCTCGACTGTTATTCGTAGAATCTCATCGTTAAAATAAAATAAAATGAACTCAACTTCCAACATCAGAATGAAGTGTGTTTATCTGACTGCAGAGCTCCGCACCTTCACACACAGTGAGGGCAGAAGACAAGCACAGCACCAGCCTGTGCAACATGTGATCCAGCAGACCCAGAGCGGCGTTTCAAACCAAACCTCAGCTAACTCATGATTTTGGGTTGCCGAGGCAACAGGAGAGTGAGGGCAAAAGGATCCTCGGCAGACGGGAAGACTGGAAACACAGCCCTCACTTTCACTATTGTGCTCGGCCACCTCCCTCCACCATCTGAATCCCACTATTCATCCGCTCTGCACAATGAAAGCTCCACAGCTTCCTCCCCTCCTCCTCCTCCTCCTCCCTCCAATTATCCTCCCCATCTCACCCTACTTTGGTCTCACACACACACACGCACACACACACACACACACACACACACACACACACGCACACACACACACACCTCTTTCTCTGGCCTCTTTAACTCTGACTATTTATGATCACTTTCCACAAAGGCTATCATCTTGTTCTTTCGGTGTTGAATCGGGCTGATCAAGGCTGACATTGTGTCTCCAGCAGTGGCCGTGGCAGCTGTGTACAGACACTAACAGATGGAGGGGGCTGAGCTTCAAGGTTTCTGGACTTTTGATCCCTTTTGTTGCCTTCAAATGTACTGTGTCTCAAGGTGAAAGCGTTTCAGACATAAAGGAAATCCACAATCAAATGTCATGTTCTGTGTTTAAGAAAACATAAAAATCCACACCTTAAAGATGTTTTCAATGAGCACAAACAGCTTTTTAATTGTGTTATTATCTCTTTAACTTTCTGTGTTTGCAGCATTTTTCTGTATTTCCAGTCTTTGTATTTGGTTAATTTAGCTTCACTCTGCCAAGTTACAGGCTTCACATGGACTCATATGGTTTCATAGTCTACAGGACAGTGATGAAAGAATTTAAGAGATTTTGTCAATGGGGCAACCTCCGATTTAAAGAAGTGTGTTAAAGCTGCATTCTCTCTAATGTCCATCAGGGGGCGACTCCTCTGGTTGTCATCTTTGTTTTAGAGCATCTTTGGTGCTAGCGGAGAGTGCAACGGTCAAGTTTCAAATTTGGGAAGGACTAAATGGTATCTGAACATCTGTATTGATATACTTAAACATTCAGTGAAGAGGTTAGTCACTGTTTACCTTTTTATCTTTGCTTTTAGGGGACACAGTTTTCTAACAGAGTATGACATGGCTGTCTGGAAAAAGGGCAGAAACCAGTGTTTTCAGGTATTTGGTGCTTCAAATATACTTTACCTTTAAAAGCATTACCTAGAAGAACTGTTCAGTAACTATTACGGGACGCACCCAAAGGACTGAAACCATCAGAGGCTCCGAGTGTGGATTTCTAATGAGGTCTCCTTTTAACATCACTGGGTGTGTCAGGTCTTTGTGGGCAAAGCTGCACATAAACGACTGATTTACTGTATGTCAATATTGGATTTACAGGGCTGCGGCATCAATGTGATGAAGTCCATTCATTAGTCAGGACCATGGGCAGTTTTAGCATCTTTCAGGTGTTTTGTTTTTTACTGTCATTGTTCGCTCTCATCTGCGTCGTTTCCAGATGCAGCAGCCAGCTGTTGTCACTGAATAATCCCTCTGTGCTCTACTTGCTCAGCAACAGCAGAAAGATAAAGTTAGCTAACTGTGTCAGCTTAACGGAGCAATTAGCCGCTAAAAAAGCCAGACGTTTATTTGGAACGTCTGGCTTTGATGGTGGAGAACAAAACGGAGATAAAAGGAGAGTTGATGTTGGAGTCACATTCTTTCGGTGGTCAGATGCTAATGTGGCTCTATGTCTGCTGGATGTGTATAGGCAACTCTTTGTTGCTAACACATGACATCTATATGAGGTGTTAGCCGGCGGCAACCTTCGGTTCTGAAAAGTGAAGCTAATGTTGAAGTGTCTTAAAGCTGCATTCTCTCTACTGACCACCAGGGGGCGACTCCTCTGGTTGTATAGACGTCTATGAGAAAATGACTCTACTTCTCTCTTGATTTATTACCTCAGT